AAATTTAAAGTTTCATTTTCGCGTATCGGAACTCAAGTTTACCCTCACTGTCCAGCTTGGTAGTCGACCCAAGATGGATCAGAGATCCGTTGCGCGGCCGTTTGCTCGAAATGAAACACAATCCTTTTGTTTATTTTGTCACTGTGCACTTTTCCGCGGCTAATCAGTCCTAACACTGCATTGTGGTGCAGCAGCGAGCCGGCATAAAAAGCTAAGGTTGAAACCTGCTGTAAAATGCCTCGTCATTATGCCACAAAGTATAAAGTAAGGAAAAACATTTTAGCTGGTGTATTGTAACGTAACTCAATTAGATGGTAGCAAAAATGAAGGAAAAATGAAATGTCATTAAATTATCTTGATTACGCAATACGATGGTGATTGCGAGGCAGGGTCAGAGAAGCTCATGAGCCGTCAATATAAAATTGTCATCAAACAAACGTATTTTTATCCTTTGGAGTCCGGAGGAATAAAGGAGGAATAAAAGAGCATAAGGCTGTCGTGCGAATTCGAGTGTGTAGGGGATAAGGCGACCCTCGCAGTATCCCTAACGCACGCGCGTGGTTGCGCGGCAGCAAAGCGTCGGTAGTGCGTACCGGCGTACTGCTGATACCATTTATAACCTCCAACTTAGGGCTTTCATTCATCCAGAACGGGTTGACAGCTGATCTCATCGCTTCTTTTTCCACCAAAACTCGGAACAAGAGCGTAACAAAACGGAAACAAACACACTGACTCCGGAACATTCCGACTATCACCAGAGCATGAGAACGATCGTACAAGTGAAAGAGGGAGTGAATAAAGTACGGTTGGATACCTTATAACATTGTAATACCGCATTACAGGACACAGCGTCACCGACCATTTATCCTGTGCATCGTTGGTCGCGCCGCGAGCACACATGCGAGTGGATAAAACCGAACGCATCAGAATGAAATGAGAAGTTCCCTTTATAATGCAAAACGGTAGAATCAGGAGATGAATATTTTAAGTCGAGTCTGCTTGAAGGTCAAACCAGTATCATATTTTTTTCTTTCTAACCTATGTCCAATAAAGCCGCAACGTGAGGACGGAGAGTGCTGGAACCAACAGAAGGTGAACAGTGAGTGCTCCAACGTCCATTCCATTTGACGAAAACGCAAATAGTGACCCCAGATGACTGACTAGACCCCAATTATTGCACTACAACGACGACCAACTCGTAAGAGGCTCAATGCGCTGAGACATCAGCTGTTTGGCTAGAAGTGAGCGTGTGACTGGTTTATAGCTGAACTACCGAATGGACAAACCGAGTGCTGGAGAGACGAATGAATCAGACTTAACCCGCATATAAGATCACTCTACAAGCCGCTAGTACGAGAAAGCCAAATGATATATGAAGCCAATTCACTCCACATTTAACAAGCTGCTATGAGAAGTAGGAACTTTGGCACAAATGCATTCAGTTTCACCGTGAAAACACGCAATGCTGATGCGGTTTAAACCAAGTGAAACCATCGAATATGGCGTCACACAAGTGGTGAAATCAAGCGAAACTAATGCGAGCAGATAACCGCCCACCCAAATGAATACAACGGACGTGCTTCTGCAAAGCGCTCTTCGTTGAAAACGATTTGTCACAGCGAACGCAGATATGAGCGCGTTGTCCTGGATGGAGAGACAGGAAGTGAGTAATTACAGATGAGTCACGCAAGGTTAGAGGTGCAGAATGGAAAAAAGCTGTTATAATGTTGTACACATGTTGCGGTACACGCAGGGCAGAATATTGATCAACAATATACAGGATCCGTGACGTGGAATTTTGACTATATTCCTTAGTTATATAGTAATGTAGGGGAATAGAACGAAGAGCAATGCTGGAGCTATCTGCTAGTAGCAAATATTGATGGCAAATGCGCGCGTAAGACAAAGTACTAACATACCGCTGTGCCCGCATGACACAAAGTGTATAAAGAAAAGTGGGTTCCCCATGGAACCATACCAAGTACAGAGTGCAATCGGTACAGCTCCGTAGATGGGAGCACATTGATGGTGCGACCAACCGCAAGTCCTGTTCGTATCGCGTTCCATTAGCTGTCCTGCTCGTCTCACTGACCATTCCCGCTGCCTATTGTATCCCTTCAGTCTGATTCCCTGGACACCTTGCACGTGTTCTATCTGTAGCTCATGTCATCCGCTCTATCAAACTGAGAGTTCAAGTGCATGACACATGCCCTCATCATTGCACAGCTTTGCGTGGAAGTACGTCTCTGGTAACTTCGTAGCCTCAAATGTGATGGGGAAGCGGAACACAAAAGTTTCGCTCTACTGGGTTTAGATTGACGACCAACGAACGAGCCGCGTTCCTCCAGAAACACAAGATGTAGGTCCCAATACCGGCACTTCTTTTCGATGAATATCCTAAAGTCACTAAGTTATTCGCGTCAATCGGTTCCCGATTTGCCTGTCAATGTGGTTTTCATTAAAACAGCCCCAGGACACTTGCGCCTACAGAGGGAAAATGGGTGGAATAGGCTGCACCAATCACAGCTACATCCATACTCCCTATATCCAGTGTAAACCCGAAGGAATAAGACCGGCAGACATGCGGGTTGGAGCCACGTTACATCAAGGAAGCAACCCACAAGCCTACAAAAAGAAGAGCGGAAGCGTTCATGCCTAATTTGGGAGTCATACGTTCCAGACTTGCAGAAGGCGGTGGCTGTGTTGTAGTCGCTTTCATAATGGATGTACGGAAACACTCTTTACGCCTAGCACCGTCAAAAGGTCGGTGCTCTTCACTCCATCCAGCCAAGACCAACTGTCTCCTGGAGCCAGTACAGACGAGGTAGTGGGTAATCGACAAGTAGACACCTTGTTAACATACAAACCAAAAGACATTGAACCCCTGAAATGCAAGAAACTGAACACGCAGGCCCACGTACACACAAATTGCAAAGACAATGCAACGCGCATACGACATAAATCACGATACTGGACGGGCTTGTTAAATAGAATCGAAGCGGACACAGCGAACCTACCAATCGCTGCGCAGATCATGCTTAGATAATCAGATGGCTCGTCGTTTTTTGGATGCTGGCACCACGTAGCCACGCTGGTGGCTTACCAAGCGCACTGGACTCAGGCACTCGCAACCACATGTGCTACAGCAACATGCACCTGATGACGATGGGGTAGAATCCATCGAGGCCGGTCGCTTCCGCACAGCCGGTTCCCCGCCGTATGTAAGAGTGCGTTCTGCTGGACCTGGCCAACCACCGACTTGAGCAGATCATGCCAATCGCGAAGAGCAAGTGCATTCGATTAGCAACACCTGAAATCAACATACGTTCTTGATACACTCACATTGTTCATGTCGTGGCAACGTAATTTCGGTATTCGCAAGTGCTGCTTCCCCGCACTGAGTAAGCCGTACAAAAGCTGTTTGGACAGCCATGTCAAATTCATTCGGCTGGTGCGCTCCGGACACCTCAGGTGCCGCAGCAGAAGTATGCAGGCCACTGCACACATGCTACTGCGGCGCAGCACTTCCATGTCTGCAACACTGTCGCACCAACCGATGTGCAGAATCCGTCGCAGACAATGTTGATGAAATCGCTCCAGATATCTAACGTCCTTCCGGCACATCGTCCATGTTCCGCTGTCGTATAGAAAAACAGACAGCATCAATGAGTTGTAAAACAGAAGCTTCGTTCCAACAGTAAGCTGGTGGTTGCTCCACACACGCACTTCCAACTTTCCAAACGTAGCAGCCGTTTTCGATATGCGGACACATAGTTTGCTCATCATCTGCAAATCGATCGAAAGTACATTAGTCCGGTAGCGAAATTTAGGAGTGGTTTCCAATGCGTCATCACCGATATGAATTCGAGGCGAACATACGGACCGCATTTCTGGTGTAGGCTGAAAAAGTCAGTCTTGCTTGTGTTAATGGTGAGCCCGAATTTGGCCACAGTCAAAGCGACAGCCGAAATCATGTGAGGCAGCCCATCTGTACTGTGCGTAAACAAAGCACAGTCGTCTGCAGACAGCAACGTAAAGATGGTTGTCTCAAACACTAGCGTGCTCGCCTCGAAACGACGGGTGTCAAACAACCCATCGTCAATATGGTGCTCCACACAGACAACGTAACCACCAGCAGTATCAAGAGCACAGGATATGGTCGAACGAAGGTAAAAGTAGAACAGAGTAGGGGTTAAGACACAGCATTGCTTCCCACTGGAGACAACAAAAAGCCATCCGAGGATTGCAGTAATCAGCTGCACCCTCGCCTGCATACCACTTTTGTAAACATTCAAGTAAACTCACAAAGTTACTCGGACAACTAACCTTACACAACACCACCTACAATGCCTCGCGGTTCACCGTATACATTGGTGAAGTCAACAAACAGCGAGTACAATGGCTGATATCACTCTCAGCATTTCTTCTGCAAATGACGAGGCGCCAACCCCATTTCGTATTCTGATCCAGCCAACGTTCCGCAGATATGCTGGAAATGGCCCATCATGCTCATACGAGCATCAATTAACGCCCTAAGAACGAAAAGCAGTACATGTTCTGGCTCGGGATGAAAGGCAAGCGGTAGTGTGTCTATCCCGATAAAAACAGCAGACCACGGAACCAATAGTGCACAGGAAATTCTACATCAATCATGGTTGCAGTTCGAAATTATTCAAATTATTCTGAGCATGTTTATGTATACATGCACCATGCGAGTCTGGTAACCGGGTTTCAAACGCCTTGAAATCTAGCAAGGTGGAAACATTAGTGCGTAGAGTCTTGAATCATTAAGTGAACCGCTCAGTAATCTGAAATCGTTAACCCGAGGGGGAACGGAAGCCAAGGGGGCGCAAAGATGACCATAAAATACTACACATACAACGCGTATCACCATGTGAAACAGAGCGTCAGACGGTAAAATGTTGATAAAGCACATTAGAAAAAATGTAAGTACAGACGGAATAACGGAAAATATCCAACACTCTGAAACAAATACTCACTTAAATGCACAGCTCCAATGTGCCTTTTCAATGCACTGCTATGAAAGAAGCATCTGTCACAATGTTCGCACCTGTGGGGCTGTTTCCCTATAACAGTAAATAAAGCTATATTAACGATAGTAAAAGTAAAGGCGAGTGCTAACCAGGACGAAAGGCTCAAAATTGCAATACCACCACTTAGTAAGACAAGTTGCGGAAATTAAGCGATGATTCTGAGGTATCTGATGGCATTCTGACAACGAAGGCAAGCAAGTACAGTTCTGAGGCGGACTCAAGCAGATATACCGTGAAGAGGAAGAGTGCACCTGCCTACAAAATGCAGAGAACCTCAAACGGCTCAACAAGGACCAACTGTGATGCACCTGGAGAGTTATGCAACGGGAGATAAAACCGTTCGCCGTTAGGTCCCAGTTTATGGCTTTAAAAAAAGTCATGTTTCTCGGAATTGTGCTCCTATCTAACTTACACCCCGTTAACATTGGCACCACGCCAATTCAACACCAGGTGATCCACATGGTTGGCGGCCTCCGGTTTCGGATTTGCCTGTCACTGTGGTCAGCCACAGGACGCCTGCGCCTACAGAGGGACCACAAGTGGCTTGCGCTGCACTACCCACAGCTCCAACCACACACCCCATATCCAGTGTAAACCCGAAGGAATAAGACCGGGAGGCATGCGGATGGGAACCACGTTTCATCAACGGAGCCGGCCCACACTCCTTCACAGGCAAACACAAGCACACTGTATTTGGGAATCAAGCGCACACAAGGCGGTGGCTGGACGGTAGTCCGCTCCACACTGACTGCATGGAACCACTCTTTGATCCTAACCCGGCCACAAGGACCGTGCACCCTGTCCCCTCCAGCAACGACCAACTGTCTCCTGGAGCCAGTATGGACGAGGTAGTGGGTAATAGACAGGTAGGCACCTTGTCAACATGCACATCAAGCGCATCCACACCGGGGATATCAACAACAGCCAAACACTTGAGAGAGAGAGAGAAAGAAAAAGAGAAAAACTCGATTAATGCATAAGGAAACGGTGATATAAACCTTAATTTAATGAGCATATGAAATAAGTTGTTTACAAAGAAATCCTAGATAAGTGCATGAGGTCAGGAAGTATAGTTCACGGAATGCCACGAACACAAAAATGTTATGGAAATCGAATACAATTGGCTGAAGCGATGTGTGCAAGTTAATGGAATAGAGTACAGGGAGATATTTATATGAGAAAGAAAAGCATTAAGGTAAAAACTGTAAACCCACCACCTGAAATAAAGAGACTTAGCATGCAAGCACGCAGGTAGTAAATCGAATTCAGCGTGCCTACAAACGCTGCGCCTGCTCGCCGTAATTCTCTGCAGGACCCGTCGTCGCTTCTGTAGTGGCCCCTAATGGCATAGCTCATGGCCCACTAGACATTTATATGAGAAAGAAACGCATTAGGACAGAACCGAAAACCCACCACCTGAAATAAAGAGACTTAGCATGCAAGCATGCGGTTAGTAAATCGAATTCAGCGTGCCTACAAACGCTGCGCCGGTGCTGCCTACGTTCACTGCGGGACCCGTCGTCGCTTCGGCAGTGGTCCCGAGTGACCTCTCTCATGGCTCACTAGGCCTGCCTGACTAAGGCACTCGCGACCGCATGTTCTACAGCACCATGCGCTCGATGTCGATGGAGTACAATTCATTGGTGCTTGCCGCTTCTTCTCTGCATGCATGAGGGCTTTCTCCCGCACTTTAGCAACTGCCTTCGCGATTAGATCGCGCCATGCACCACGATCAACCGCCTTCGATTCCCATGATCGGCAATCAAGATTAGAACGTGTGAGGCTCACTTTAATCATGTCCTGGTAATGTAACTTTGGTTTCCCCACGTGCCGCTTCCCCATACTCAGTTGACCGTATAAAAGTTGTTTCGGTATTCGCGTCGAATCCATACGGCTCACATGACCGAGCCATCTCAAGTGTCGCAGTAAAAGTATGCCGTCCACTGCATACATCCCACATTGTTGCAAGACTTCCGTGTCTGCAACTCTGTCGCCCCAGCTGACCCGGAAAATTCGTCGCAGACACTGCCGATGAAACCGCTCGAGATATCGCACATCCCGACGGTACATCGTCCACGTTTCACTGCCGTATAGAAGAACGGACAGTACCATGGATTTGTAAACCATCAGCATAGTGCCAATGCTAAGCTGATGGTTGTTCCACACTTGGTACTCAAGCTTCCCGAATGCCGCGGCCGCCTTCGACACGCGAATACGCAACTCAACGTGTAGCTGCTGATCAGTCGACATCACACTCCCAAGGTAGCTGAAGCGGGAAGTGGTTTCCAATACTTCAGCACCAATGCTGATTTGCGGCAATATTGAAGATTGCACCTCCGGTGAAGGCTGAAAGAGACAGACAGTTTTGCTTGTGTTGATGGTGAGCCCGAATTTGGCCGCTGTCGAAGCCAGAGCACTAGTCATGTGCTGCAACTCATCCGCGCTGTGTGAAAACAACGCACAGTCGTCAGCAAACAGCAATATACGGATAGTTGTCTCACAGACTAGAGTTCTCGCACCGAAAAGACGGATGTTCAGCAACCCACCATCAATACGGTGCTCCACACGAACACCGAAAGCACAAGCCGCATCAAAAGCACAAGACAACATTGCATGAAGATATATATTAAACAGGGCAGGAGCTAAGACACAGCCTTGCTTCACACCAGAGACAACTGCAAAGTCATCCGAGGTCTCTCCGCTCAGCTGCACCCTCGCTCGCATACCACTGTGCAGACATTCAATTAAACTTACAAACTTACGCGGGCAACCAAACTTACCCAACACCAGCCACAATGCCTCGCGGTTCAACGTATCAAATGCCTTGGTGAAATCAACAAAAAGCGAGTACAATGGCTGGTGTCGTTCTCTGCACTTCTCTTGCAACTGACGAGCTGCAAACACCATATCTATAGTGCTGCGACCCGAAATGAATCCACATTGCTCTTCCGCCACGTTAGGTTCTACAACCTGACTGACGAGGCGGTTGAGCAGGATTCGGGCAATCACCTTGCCCACACAACTCAGCAAGTTGATGCCACGATAATTCGTGCAACATTGCTTGCTAACTTTGCCCTTGTACAGTGGTAGCACAAGGGCATCCTTCAGCTCAGCAGGCACCTCCTCCTCAATCCACACGCGTTGCACCAAGTGGTGCAACGCAGTCAACAACGCGGGTCCACCGTGTTTCAATACTTCAGGCGGCATCCCGTCGGCTCCGGCACATTTGCCATTTCGCAGCTGAGCAAGTGCTCTCTGCGTCTCATCCAGTGTCGGCGTATCCGCCAGATTTGCCTTCACATCGTGCTGCTTCAGGCCGTTCAATGTAGGCCAGTCGATCTCTGAACGGTTGTTCAAGAGACAGTCAAAGTGTTTCCGCCAGATCTGCATTATGTCTGCAGTCTGGGTGCAGGTAGCGCCTGAACTACCATCGATCAGTGTCCTCAGCGGCTCCAATCTCGGTCCATACACCGCCTTCAAGGAGTCAAAGAATTCCTTGTGTTGACGGCGTTCGGCATAGCATTCCATCTGCTTCGCCTTCTCCGTCCACCATGCATTTTTAATACGACGGAGCTCTCGGGTCAGTCGCCGTCGAAGTTTGCGAAACTGACTACTCTGCCCCAAGTCACTGGGGTCTGCGACATGTGCAGCAATTGCTGCATTCTTCTCCGACACCAATGCGCCAATCGTCACATTGTTGTCATCAAACCAATCGGGCCGTTTACAGTTTGCTTGTCCCATGGTCTCCTCGGCAGCAGCTGTCACCTGGTCGCGAATGTGGTGCCACAGGTCGCCCACTGTGGCTATGCAGTCCACATCACCACACAGGCGTGCAGCCATCGCCTTCTCCAGCTCAGTACGTTTCGCCACAGTACCGAGGGAGAGAATGTTAAATTTACGCCGATTCACGGCGGGAGTGCAATACATCGATTTACGAAAATATATGTAGTTTAGTACGAACCAATTTGTGATCAGTGCCACACTCAGCTCCACGCAGTACACGTGTCATGCGCACTTCACGCATATCACGCTGACGTACGATGACATAATCGAGCAGGTGAGCGTGACCACTCCGTGGGTGCGTCCAAGTTGCTATATCACTCGCACTCAGTGCAAACCGAGTGTTCGTGATCGTCAAACCGTGAGTGGCACACAGTGAGAGCAGCCTGTCACCGTTCGCATTCGCTGAACCAATGCCATGCGCACCGATAACATCTGTCCACGCTGATGCATCACGCCCAACGCGCGCGTTGAAATCACCCAGCAGAAATAGTCGGTCGCCCCTCGACCCAGACCGTATCACGGAGGATAGCTCAGTGTAGAACTGATCACGCGTGTCATCAGGATAACACATGGTCGGACCGTACGTGCTTATAAAAGTAGCAAACTTACCTCTTCCGAGTCGTAGGCGAACAGTCATCAGTCGCGCGCTGATGCCCGTTGGTTCACCCACCAGCTGGTCATGGAGGCGATCAGATATTGCAAATCCGACCCCATGTTCACGTGGTGCTGAGGCGGCGTTGCCCACCCAGTAGAATGTGTAGCCAGCACCTGTTTCATGCAACTTACCTTGCTCAGCGAGCCGAGTTTCACTGAGCGCCGCAATATCGATGTGGTAGCGCGCCAGCTCCATCGCGACCAGTGCAGTGCGCCGCCCCGGACGCTCGCTGGAGTTCCGGTCCAGTAGTGTGCGCACGTTCCAGCACCCGATGCTGAGTGCCTTGCGCGCAGGCATACGATTGCATTGGTGGGCAATCGCACGCGAGGTAGTCGTTGTGCTTCGGAGGTTTGCTTGAGGGACTCCACCCGGAGCCTTTGGCTCAATAGCCTGACCCACAAGGCAGTGGGGAGCAGATCCAGCTCGGGAATGTGATTGCAGAGACAGACTAGGATCTGCTTGACAGACGTCACACACAGCCTTTGACGTTCTGGAACAATTATCATATGTTTTGCGACCTTAATTGGATACGCACCTGCGACCACGGCCAGACGCAGGTGGGTTTTTGGCGGGTTTGCACCAATTTGACCAGGTG